CTCTGTGGAACAGTATTGCACAAAGTAGCTCCAAACCTCCTCTTCTGGGATCCCTCAACGGCGCTATCTGTTCCACCTCTTCTCCATGCATGACCAAAGGAAGCTGTTTCAGATGGCAGAATTAAATGAAAATGATAGAGATTTTGATTTATAAAGCACACATATGTGAACATGCGCATAAAAAAAAAAAAATATTTCAGGCAACATACACTTTACTATTTCAAAGTCTCAATCCAGAAAGTTAAATTGCAGGGAATGTCTGTAACTTGCATTTGTAGTCTGGGAAAAGAGGTGAGCCAATTACAGGAAACAGAAGATCTCTAAGTGTCCTGTATATAAACAGTGTACAAGGTGCATCCAGTTGCCATACTTGCAAAGAAGTGACACTTAAATTGTAGCTGGTCACAGATTGGAAAAAGGAAGGCCATTTGTAATAAAAAATGGCACATGCTGTATTTTTTGTGTTATATAACGTTTTAGCGAATGTGAAATTTTCGTTTGCAGTGTTTAATTCTGCAGTATATATGATGTAAGCACAGTTTATTTTCCATCTAGTGATACATGAGATACAACAGGCAGCCCAAGCCTTGGTTCACACTAGAGCAACATGAAAGTTGCACGACTTCCACCACGATTTTACTGTATGACTTCCTAGCAACCAGGTGCAACTTCAAAGTGACTTTAAAGCAATTTCAATGTAACTATGATGTTTTGAGACTTTGGTTGTGGCCAATCTTGGCAATACAGAGTGTGACACAATTCCTTTTCCTTGTACACTGATTTCCTGTTCCTTTTCAATTCCTTGTTTATTAGCCCTGTATGGAGCTTAGCAGTTATGTTCTCTGCATGCTATGTCACGGCAGCAGTCCTTATGGCTGTAGTCGCAGCCGTATATAAAGAAGAGCAGAAGCAGCAGAGGAGGAGGAGAAGGCATAGGTACTGGATCCATCCAGTCATCGCCAATAGGAAAGACAGAGGACAGTTCTGACAGTATATCAACATACACATAGGGTTGCCACCTCATCCCTGTAAAACCAAACGCATATTAATTCCACAGGTTCTGAGTCTAATTTAATGCAGATAAGGCGCTAAGTGAGTTTAATTACCGCCTTAATCAGCCACAGAACCTGTGTCATTAATATGTGTTCCGATTTAAAGGGATGAGATGGCAACTCCTGCTCTCTAGCTCCCTCGTCTCCTCCTACCATGCTCGTCTCCAGGACTTCTCCAGAGTTTACCCCATCCTCTGGAACTCTCTACCCCAATTTATCAGACTATTGCCTACTCTGCTCACTTTTAGGCGATCTCTAAAAACCTATCTCTTCAGGGAAGCCTATCCTGCCCTCAGCTAATAATGGAATCTTCTACTCCTCCTACTAGTTCATCCCCTACAGTTACTACCTTTTGTACCACCAGCCGCTCCCTCTTAGATTGTAAGCTCCAAGGAGCAGGGCCCTCCTAACCCTTTTGTATTGAACTGTATTGTTGCTGTATTGTCTCCTGTTATATTGTGAAGCGCTGAGCAAACTGTTGGCGCTATATAAATCCTATATAATAATAATAACCCTACTTTACACATGCAACAAATGTATTTTTCACAAATGTGCTTATGCAGGGTGACCTGGACTCTTTGTGTGTGTCCAACCCCTATTAACGCAGGGAAAGCTGCGTGAAGCTGCCAAACAAACACAAAGAAATGCAAATATAAAAATTTGGAATAATGTATAGATGTTACTGCGCTAAGGTATTCAAACTTTTATTGGTATGGGGCTACAATGCACCTCCCTCTTTTTCACATGGACCACAATAACCTACATTTGGAAATACTGTGCAAAGTGTCATCAAATGTTAAAACCTGTTAAAAAAAATGCTACAAGACACCTCCCTCCTTTACAATATTGTAGTACTGAGTGCTTTTTATAATTTTTTACAAATTGCACATTGATTGGCATTACAGAATACATGTACTGTATGATATTGGTTGCATAGCACATGCACTGAAAAATATTGTAAAGGAGGGAGGTGTATTGTAAAATGTTTTTTTTTTTTGTGGATTACTCAGCGGCTGAAAAGGTGTCCCACTGGTCATGGTACAGTTTTACCACCTGCAACCATGAAGAATCTATCTTTACCTGGTCCTTGTAGGTGAAGTCTCATGTATCATAATTCAGCAGACTTTCATGTACTAGGCTGATTAGTAGCTCATGGTCCTGAGCTTTACACATGCATCTAGATGCCATTTCTGCCACACTGCGCATACTGTGCCCATATGGTTAGGAGGTGACAATAGTAGCTGACAATGGGACACTTGGGAAGAGAATTCAACAGCAGGGATGGCCAGGTACAGAGGTATACATCATACAAATGAATGTAAGTAGAATATAGGGTTAAAAAATGCCTTAGAAATCACTGCTGATAATTACATAGGCTGACTTGTTGGCGATTTCTCATTACAGTCTACGGGAGTCCTGCCACACAAGAATTGCCCAAAAGTAGAGCAAAAAGTATTTTATTTGTTGCAGCGACCCAAGATGCAGCAATTCTATGTGTTCTCACTTGACCTGCAACTTTACATGCTAGTGTGAACCAGGGCTAACAATGTGCATTTTTGTATTGCCATGATGAAAGAAACATTACTTGACAACACAAAACAACTTATTCAACTTTACTGCTGATTATTTAAAGATACATTTTTTTTCTGTAGATATAAAAATGAAATCTGTAACCGCTGCCCTCCAGACCAAAGGCTCCCAGTCCTCACCCAAGCTGGAATATACTACCCAATTTCATTGACAGTAAAATCCATCCCCATTAAACTAATCAGTAATGATGATGGGTTTAATGGGGTCATTCATTGGATAATGAGAGTATACAGGGGAGGGAGGGGGGATCAGGACAGGCTGGGGGCAAGGGCAGACAAACCACTTGGCCACTGACCAAGGGCCCAGGGCCAGTAGGGGGCCCCTTTGCCAGCATCCTTCAGAACCATGCTGGAGTCCCAGAGCCCAGTGCCGACACTTGGCTCTGCTAATTCACCTCCTACTGCAGGGGCAAATACACTGGGGGGGATTACACTGGGGGGGAGTTACGGGGAGGGGGGAATTTACATTGGGGGATTTACACAGGGGGGATTACACTGGGGGGAGTTATGGGGGTATTTACACTAAAAGGATTACACTGCTGAGAGTACACTGGGAGGGGGGGTTACACAGAGGGGAATTACACTGGGAGGATTTACATGGGGGAATTTACACTAGGGGGTTACACTATGTAGGATTTACAAGGAGTGAGTTACAGAGTTACACTGGGGGTGATTTACATAGGGGATTTACACTGGGAGGATTATGGGATTACACTGGGGGGGGGGGGGTTTACGTAGGGGATTTACACTGGGAGTATTATGGGATTACACTGGAGGGAGGAGTACACTGCAAAGAGTACACTGTGAGGATTACAAACGGGGGATTACACTGGGGGGAGTTATGTGGGGGGATTACACACTGCTGGGAGAACATGGGGGATTACTCTAGAGGAATTTACATTAGGGGATTAAACTATGAGGATTTTACATACGGGGGATTACAGTGTTACACTGAGGGGATTTACATAGGGAGAAGGGGATTTACACTGGGAGAATTATACTTGTGGGAGTATGCTAGGGAGATTCACATTGGGGGAGATTTACACTAGAGGGATTACACTGGAGGGAGTACACTGCGGAGTTTACACTGTGGGAATCTATACTGGGGGATTATATTCGGGAAGAGTACATTCTGGAATGAAGTAGCATACTGGAGGGTCACAGTGGCCTTGGGAGGGGGCAGGTAACAAAAATTTGTGCAGAGAAGAGTAATCTGGCCAGGGGAGTAAGAGGATATGAAAGGTTGAGGGCAATATGAAAGGGGAGAGGATTTGTGCTAGAAGAGAAGGGTCTCATTGCTGAATATATGGGAATGTCTCTTTGGTGGATTTGGCTGTCTCTTTGCTGAATATGGGGATGTCTGTTTGCTGGATTGGTCTGTCTCTTTGCTGAATATATGGGGATGTCTGTTTGCAGGATTGGGCTGTCTTTTTGCTGAATATATCTGGATGTCTCTTTACTGGATTGGGCCATCTCTTTGCTGAATATATGGGGATGTCACTTTACTGGATTGGGCCATCTCTTTGATAAATATATGGGGATGTCTCTTTGCTGAATATATGGGGCTGTCTCTTTGCTGGATTGGGCCATCTCTTTGCTGAATATATTGGGCTGTCTCTTTGCTGCTCTTTTTGCCAAAATATAATTTCTTACGGTTAAATCTTGAAAGCACTGATGATTTGGAATACAATTTTCTTTTGCATATATTAAGTTGTAAGAGTGTTAAAATAAAAGTGGCTGCACTGAAAGACTCAGTGTGATAGCCAGTGGGTGGATTCGGTGGGATAGCCAGTGGGCAAGCCTTGAAGAATGTTGATAGTCAACCCGGGAGGGGGGGGAGGCCTAAAGCTGTATAAGGGGCAACAAAATTTCCGATGGCTGACCTGTTGACCACTCACTGCATGAAGAGAGATCACTAACAGACAGGCCACAAACTGACTTGGTCTAAAACATTTCAAAACAGTGCTGAAGTGCAGGCACCTTATCATACATACAAGTTACCTTTTTAGCCTTCAAATAAATCCCTGTGTCTTTGAGGAGCTTTCTTGGATCCCAGGCCCATGATGTACTTCCAAGCTAATGAATGTTTGGAAGTGAATAGGGACTGAGGAAATATATTTTCATAATTTACAACAGCCATATCAGATATTTAATACTTTATTACCCGTAATGTAGTAAAAACTCCAAATAATATTTGTTAACTTAAACTGTACCCTGGTTTGATACACATATCATTTTACAGTTTATTTTAGATCTTTTCTTTCAAGAGAAAAAAAATAAAACTTTAAATAACTTTGGTGCTGAATCTCAGGCACATAAGGAATATTGGCAGTTGACATCAAGTCCAAAGACATCCAAGTTACTGTTCTACTTTCAAAGCAGGGACTTTCCAGTTGACTTTTTCAGTTAATATGAAGGCCACTTTTTTCTCATAATATGCTGCCTCATTGATAAATGTGGGGTACAAGACTTTCTCATCTTCATAATACACATCTTTTCCACTCAAAGTCTTAAAGATTGGATCTCCACACTTCAAAGGAATATAATCTTTGTCCTGAAAAAAATACAAATGTAGCATCAAGTTACCAACAAGCACATTGATTATATTAATAAACATCAGACCGACCAAGGCATATTCATCAGAATTAGTTGGCCCTTTGCTGGCATTTACACTGCAGAATCCTGATAGCTCCAAATATAGGTTTTAGTCTGAAATCCTGCTTTGTAGGATGTCGAATAAACAGTGAGGGGCGAATCACACTAGGAATTGCACAGGAACGCAATTGCAATCCTATTTGATTTGATTGCAGTGCATTTTTTGCCCAGTGATTTGAATGCACTAAAATCATACTGCACAGCACCAAAAGTAGTGCATATAACTTTGGTGGTGAATCTCATGCACATAAGGAATATTGGCAGTTGACATCAAGTCCAAAAACAAAGACTTTAGAAAAAATGCACCGCATCTTGATCACATCGTACCTCTCTACCATGCGATTTGGTGTAAGAAAACACACTGTGTTTGTGGGTGGTGTTTGGATTGTCGCTGCAGATCGTAAGGTCAGTAAGTTTTTAACACGGTGCAGGAAACGCACATGGAACACAGGTTTCCTGCACTGCATTCTGGTGTGAGCAGGCCCTGAATGTTTATAGTTTTGAACAATCACATAAATTTAATACTAATCACTTAAAGATCAATTATATGCTACCTCCAAATAACACGTTAGAAACTGGTGGCTGTAACAATCACCATATTATCAATACAGAAAATAATAGCTAAACACCTCTGAATGCAACTCAACTATGCTGCCCATTATAACTACAGTGAATGATGTGCCCAAGTTAAATTATCATTAACAGCATATAAATATGTCCAAAGATTCCAATTTAGAGTAGAATTTAAAATTAAAGGGTTTTTGTGCAGGCGGCTTTTTTTTTCTTTGCAGAAGACACGTACTGTACTGTACTGCAGTATGTCTCTTTTACAATAAAACATTCTTACCTGGTTGGTTGAAAAAACTTCTATAAAATGTACAATGAGCTGGGCAGGTGCAACTCAATGTTAAATCCCAGTGTGCTTTGGTGTCCGGATTAAAGTGGTTCTAAAGTCATTAGGCTTTTTACCCTAATGCTAACTTTGCTAACTAGATGTTCCTTCCCCGTTCTCTCTAAACACCCTCTATCAATCCAGCGCTGTGCCTAGCTGCAGATCTTCTCTCCCACTCCCTCACTTTCACTCTCACAGGGTACACTGAGAGCAGCAGGAGACATTGGGTCCCACTACTGTCAGCCAAATCATGTGGGGAAGGAGCCAGGAGCGGAACCGAGCCAGGGGCGGACTGACCATTTGAGCACTCGGGCACTGCCCGAGGGCTTGGAGTCAGTAGGGGGCCCCATGAAATGCTCCTGGTACCTTTTATAGGCTTTTTTGGGTGTGCTTTGAGTGTGGGCAAGGACACAGGGGCCCTATGATCCCCTATTGCCTGGGGACCCCATGAGTTGTCAGTCCGCCCCTGGACCGAGCTGAGCTGTGTGTTCAAAGACACATAAAGCTCAGCTTGGGAGTGCTATGGGAGCAAGCACAGGAGAAGAGGAGAGGACAGCGCCAGCAGGGGTCTCCAAAGAGGAGATAAAGGGCCATTCTATGCAATACCAATGCACAGAGCCAGTAAGTATTACATTTGTATTAATTTCATATTCAAAAAATTACTTTACATTCACTTTAATGAACTCCCACATACATACACGTGATGTCATACTGGCCAATCAAAATGTGCAAAGAAGATCCCAAACCCAGAAAAAGTACAGCAGAAGATGTTAGTGCCAATGAGGAGGCATTTGAATGTTGCATTGCTAGAGTGTGAGCATACATTTGCAAGAAAAAGTATGTGAACCCCCTTGGGATTACGTGGAGTTTTGCATGAATTGGGCATAAAATGTGCTCTGAAGTCACAACAATAGAAGAACACAGTCTGCTGAACATAATACTACACAAACATTAGATGTTGCCATGGTTTCATTGCACATAACATGTAAACATTTACAGTGCAGGGAGGAAAAAGTATGTGAGGCCCTAGCTTAATGACTTCTCCCAGAGCTAATTGGAGCCAGGAGTGAGCCAACCTTGACTCCAATCAGTGTGATGATATTGGATGTGTTGCTGACAGCTGTCCTGCCCTTAAAAAACACACACCTGTTTTGGATTTACTGGTTTCAAGAAGCACTGTCTAATGTGAACCATGCCTCGCAGAAAAGAGCTCTCAGAAGACCTATGATCAAGAATTGTTGACTTGCATGAAGCTGGAAAGGGTTACAAAAGTATCTCCAAAAGCCTTAATGTTCATGTGTCCACGGTAAGACAGACTGTCTACAAATGGAGAAAGTTTAGCACTGTTGCTACTCTCCCTAGGCATGGTCGTCCTGTAAAAATGACTGCAAGAGTACAGCGCAGAATGCTGCATGAGGTAAAGAAGAATCCCAGAGTGTCAGCTAAAGACCTACAGAAATATCTGCCACATGCTAACACTTTTGTTGACACATCTGCAATAAGGAAAACATTAAACAAGAATGGAGTACATGGGAGGACACCACGGAGGAAGCCATTGCTGTCCAAAAAGAATATTGCAGCACGTTTGAAGTTTGCAAAAGAGCACCTGGATGTTCCACAGCACTACTGGCAAAATATACTGTGGACAGATGAAACCAAGATTGAGTTGTTTGGGAAGAACACACAACACTATGTGTGGAGAAAAAAAGGCACAGCACACCAACATCAAAACCTGCAGAGGATGGGTGATGCAAGAAGACAATGACCCAAAGCATACAAGTAATTCAACAAAACAATGGCTGCAACAGCACAGAATACGCCTTCTGGAGTGGCCCAGTCAGAGTCCTGACCTCAACCTGATTGAAATGCTGCGGCATGACCTTAAGAAATCGAATTCACACCAGACATCCCAAGAATATTGCTACACTGAAACAGTTTTGTGAAGAGGAGTGGTCCAAAATTACTCCAGATCGTTGTGCAGGTCTGATCTGCAACTACAGGAAACGTTTGGTTGAGGTTATTGCTGCCAAAGGAGGGTCAACCAGTTATTAAGTCCAAAGGTTCACATACTTTTTCCTCCCTGCACTGTGAATGTTTACATGTTATGTGCAATTAAACCATGGCAACATCTAATGTTTGTGTAGTATTATGTTCAGCAGACTGTGTTCTTCTATTGTTGTGACTTAGATGACGTTCAGAGCACATTTTATGCCCAATTCATGCAAAACTCCACGTAATCCCAAGGGGTTCACATACTTTTTCTTGCAACTGTATTTCATCTTTAAGGCTAATGATCCACATAATAATAAATCATTGAGGCAAAAAGTCTATTTTACGGTTTGCTTAACTCTATATGCAGTTTTCATTCATGGAGAAAAAATACAAATATGGTGATTCAACCACTGGAGGAAGGGTGAATGTAGAAGAAGGTTCTACTAAATTCAGCTGGTTTAGAAAATGTGTGAATCTACCTGCAGCTCAGCATGGATGACTGCTGCTATTTCTCCTGTAGAGTCTCGAGGAAAGTCCACTCTGGATACAAACTTGTATATATCAGTCTCAAAACTTGGAAACTCTTTACCTGCAAAAGAGACGGAAAACAGGATTATGATTTGCAAGAAAAAGGGTTGAAATGCTATGTTACTATAGTATTAGATGCAAAAATATTTTATAACACAAAAAGACACATAATTGTGTCTCAACATGGCAGTGATTAGATCACGTGTCAAACACAAGGCCCACAGGCCAAATCCATCCCACTAGGCCATTTCAAGAGGCCCTCGCATCCAGGGTTTTTTCCTCAACCGCCATCTCGTGCTAAGCATGGAAAACTTTTGAAGAAGACCTGGAGAAGGTGCACTTTGTACGTAGCACGCCCCTGAAATTGCACTCTGTATATAACGCACCCCTGAACTCTGCACATAATGCACTCCTGGTATTTCTTGCCCCTTTAAGATGCTCCAACTGTTGCAATTTTGCTACACCGACCATTTAATGTGGTTGATGAGGAGGAGAGCAGTTGAATTCCTTCACATATTCCATGAGAAAAAAGCCCTGGATACATTCATATAGTCTTACACATACAACCGTTCCTTTAGGGGCAACCATAATGCTGATGCGGCCTGTGATGAAATTGAGTTTAATACTCCTGGGTTAGATGAAGCGAAATTGTGGGACTTTATTAGTTATAAATTAGTGGGTAACAAGAGAAACAAGTAAGAAAAATGTATTCCTGTCAAGGTTATTCACAAACATACTAGTCCTAAATTTGCCAAAAAGCTATCTTTGATCTTTCACTTTACATGAAATAACAGTTCACATGGGTCAGATAGCTAAGATCATCAGCAGTGCAGGGACAAGGTAATCCATCAACCAAGGCAAAGATGCCAAACTGTGCCCTCTTTTTCCCGTTCATGATGTGCAAGGGGATCTGCTTGGGAGGGCGCATCTTAAACTTCCTTCTAGCTCTCTCCTCACTACTCCCAGTGCTGGGCTGACAAGAGTAGCAATCCTGCTGTCTCTACTCCTGTTAGCCTTGTAACAGAAGGAACTCTTTCATCATTGCACGCAGGGCAGCCGTCCTTCCTGCCCATCCCTTGTCCCAGCCCTGATCATCAGAGATAGGCTCATTTGTATGAGGAGAGCTTGGACAGCCTGGTGCAATGGATTTGGACTTACCAAATCACCAGTACCAAAGAGTACAGCAAACTTTTTTTCCTTTTAAACATAAAGAATTACAAGTGGGAGACTTGTAATGCCGCTCAAGGATCACTACAGGTAAAAGTCACCTCACCAGCAGAGAAAGAAGAGGGGAGCAGCAACCCAGATTATTCCAGAAACTGATGCAGTATTTGAAGAAGCAGATGCCGCTCAAAACCGATCCCCAGAGTTGGAGGAATTTGTGCTGTGATGGTTTTGCTATATTGATGATATCTTCCTAATTTGGGGGGCACCGTATCAGCCCTAAACGAGATTGTTGCCCAAATCAATATAAACATCTACAACCTCAAATTTACAGTTAATCTTAACCCATATCTCATTACATTTTTGGACTTATAAATTTTCCTGGGATGATAATGGTTGTCTGGCCACTAACTTGTATTGTAAAAACACACTACTACACGCAGATAGTGCACACCCATAGGCACTGGTCCACAGTATTTTTGATTGAAAAAATACTTTATTACATAAGTATAAAAAACACATGATACTTGTTGTCGGGGTACATCTCACCCTATACTGCGACGCAGCGCACCACATTGCAATACAGTTCCAAGCATACGATAAATACATTCAATAAATAAATACATTCACTCAGCGGTATGATGCCTGACTGAATGTGCGTGGCGGACAAATCCCCAGACCAACACGTCATGCATAACGCCGCTTACCCCGAGACCATAGCATCCTAAAACAAAGTACATTTCTCAACGTTACTAAGTCATGCAATACAAAACCGGATGTTACATTTTACAATAAGCATCGGGTGTGTGAGGGGGGGAAAGGGGAAAAAGAGGGGGACACAGGCCCGAAGCTTTATTGAAGGGACAAAGACACGCAAGGGGGAGTAGGGGGAAGGGGAGATCTTCAGACGTCCTCTTCCTCCTTAAAGTCCATCAAGGTATAGTCTCTGAGCAGACTGAGGATCAGTCTGCGGCAGTCCTCAATGGACATCCTCTCCCGCTGGTGGATGAGGCACTTCCTGGCGCACCATAAAGCGTCCTTAAAACAACACAGCACCCGCCAGGCGCTGTCAATGTCCTCCAGAGAAAAAGTTCCACAGAATAGTCCATTCAGCACCCCAAAGTGTGTGATGACTGTCTGTGGTACAAAGTCCTTGAGTTCAGGTTCCAGGGCCCTCAACAGGGCCTGAGCAAAAGAGCACTCCCAGAAAACGTGATGAGACGTTTCCTCATGGATGATGCAGAAGGGGCAGTGTCTGTATCTGCTCAGGTTCCTGGCATGCATAAATGTCCTGAGAGGCAACCCCCCTTGGATTGCCATCCATGCCAGGTCTTTGTGCCTGTTGGTGAGAATGTTTGAAGAAACATTCCTCCAGACCACCTTGCAGGTGTCTGAAGGCAGGCCTGGAACCGACTCCAAAATGTCACTTGCTCTGATGAGCTTGTAAATGGTCTTTGGTTTCCACAAGTCAGGCTTGACTCCCTGCAGCCCCTGATAAACTTGAAGGTATCCAAGTAGTACCAAGGGGTGTCCCAGTTGTAGGGGATGGAACTGTCCCAATTGTCCCATCTGAGGGACCTCCAGAGAGGCAACAGGAAGAAGCGTGACATTGCGTTCCCGCCAGAGTCCATAATCCTTTTGGGCAAAGTTCTGCGGATGCAGTTGCAGGCAAAGAACACCACAGTATTCCATACACACAATATATATACACCTTAGGTGCAATTGTACCCAACTTTGTGATTTTAAGACACAGGCCGCACAACTTAGATCATGCGTTATGGCGATCACTGTTACGCAAGACCTATAACAAGGTACTCATATCGGATAGGACTGCCTTATTATTCAAAAACAAACAGGATGATAATAGTTTTACAATGGTAAAATGTATTACTAAACTCTCCTCACAACACCTGGATTTACAGGATTTACTACAGAAACATTGGCATAAACTACGAGACGATGCTATCATCTCTAAGTATATAAGGGAATATCCAGATTTAAGATTCTGAAGGGCCAATTCCACATGGGATACCCTAATCACTAGCCACTATTTACCAAATACTCAAAGAGTGAGACATCCCAAGGGGATACATCAATGTGGAAAATGCAATTTTTGCCCTTGGATAGCTACTGGACATTAATTTCTGCTTCCAAATGGTCAAAAATGTATTCCCCATTTTTATGCAGATGCAAAAGGGCTTGTATATCTAATGTTATGCCAATGTGGGGCATTTTATATAGGAAAAACAATACGACACCTTAGCAAAGATAAATTATAATTTTTACTATTCCTCTAATGGGAAGATGATTACTCCGGTTAGCCGACATTTAGATCTCTACCATGGCTTTGACACTGTGGTAGTATCCTTTTTGGACGTTGGAAGTTATCCCGAAAAACGCCAGAGCGGGAAATTGGGATAAGAAAACCATACAGAAAGAAACTTTATGGATAGAAAGAACCAATATGACTAAACCTCCAGGACTGAATGAAGTACTATCTTACAAGTATTTTCTGTGACTAATTGTACCTGTCTATATTGTTTCCCCCTTTTTTTTTCTCCCCCCCCAGTTTTTCCTGCCCTCCCCTTTCTCATTTTCAGAGCTGTGAGAATTGTGTAAAGGCTTATAAAGTTTGTCCGCAGTCCTTGGTCATCTCCTGTGCAATGTCCGCAGTCTCTGGTCATCTCCTGTACTGTGTCCGCAGTCTCTGGTCATCTCCTGTACTATGTCTTCAGTTTCTGGTCATCTCCTGTACTATGTCCGCAGTCCCTGGTCATCTCATGTACTGTGTCCGCAGTCTCTGGTCATCTCCTGTACTGTGTCCGCAGTCCCTGGTCATCTCCTTTGTTCTGTCCACAGTCTCTGGTCATCTCCTGTACTATGTCTGCAGTCTCTGATCATCTCCTGTACTATGTCCACAGTCTCTGGTCATCTCCTGTACTATGTTCACAGTCTCTGGTCATTTCCTGTACTATGTCCGCAGTCTCTGGTCATCTCCTGTACTGTGTCCGCAGTCTCTGGTCATTTCCTGTACTGTGTCCGCAGTCTCTGGTCATTTCCTGCACTGTGTCCGCAGTCTCTGGTCATTTCCTGCACTATGTCCGCAGTCTCTGGTCATTTCCTGTACTGTGTCCGCAGTCTCTGGTCATTTCCTGTACTGTGTCCGCAGTCTCTGGTCATCTCCTGTACTGTATCCGCAGTCTCTGGTCATTTCCTGTACTATGTCTGCAGTCTCTGATCATCTCCTGTACTATGTCCGCAGTCTCTGATCATCTCCTGTACTATGTCCGCAGTCTCTGGTCATCTCCTGTACTATGTCCGCAGTCTCTGGACATCTCCTGTACTATGTCCGCAGTCTCTGGACATCTCCTGTACTATGTCCACAGTCTCTGGTCATCTCCTGTACTATGTCCGCAGTCTCTGGTCATCTCCTGTACTATGTTTGCAGTCTCTGGTCATCTCCTGTACTATGTCTGCAGTCCATTGGTTCAGAATATTTTTTTTTCTTGTTTTCCTCCTCTAAAACCTAGGTGCGTCTTATGGTCAGGTGCGATTTATGGAGCGAAAAATACGGTAATTCTGGTTCCCACAGACTGGCTATATGCTCATGTGGTACACAGATTAGTCCTGTCAATTTAAGAAGGTGCTCCTAACAATAACCCGTTATGTGTATAACAGACACCTGTCCACAGAATCTCTTTCTTCGATTCAAACCTCACCACCATGGGCAAGTCCAAAGAGCTGTCAAAGGACATCAAGGACAAGATTGTAGACCCGCACAAGGCTGGAATGGTTTACAAGACCATCAGCAAGAAACTTGTTGAGGAGACAACTGTTGGAGCGATTATTCACAAATGGAAGAAAGACAAAATAACCATCGTACGCCCTTGGTCTGGAGCTCCATGCAAGATTTCACCTCATGGGGTAAGGATGATCATGCGAAAAGTGAGGAATCAGCCCAGAATTACACAGGAGGAGCTTGTGAATGATCTCAAGGCAGTTGGGACCACAGTCACCAAATAAACCATTGGTAACACAATACACCACCATGGACTGAAATCCTGCAGCACCCACAAGGTCCCCCTCCTCAAGAAGGCACATGCACAGGCCCGTCTGAAGTTTGCCAATGAACATCTAAATGATTCAGGAAAGGATTAGGAGAAAGCTCTGTGGTCAGATGAGACCAAAATTAAGTTCTTTGGCATTAACGGAAATCACCGTATTTGGAGGAAGAAAAATGCTGACTATGACCCTAAGAACACCATCTCTAAAGTCAAGCATGGAGGTGAAAACATTTGGGGCTGTTTCCCTGCTAAAAGTACAAGCCGACTTTGCCGTATTGAGGGACCAATGGACAGGGCTATGTAATATAAAATCTTGGATGAGAACCTTCTTCCCTCAGCCAGAACACTGAAAATGAGTCGTGGATGGGTCTTCCAGCATGGCAATGACCCAAAACATACCACCAAGGCAAAAAAGGAGTGGTTCAAGAAGAAGCACATTAAGGTCATGGAATGGCCTAGCCAGTCTCCAAACCTTAATCCTATAGAAAATTTATGAAGGGAGCTGAAACTTCGAGTTGCCAAGCAACAGCCAAAAAAACCTTAAGGATTTAGAGAAGATCTGTAAAGAAGAGTGGACCAAAATCCCACCTGACATGTGTGCAAACCTGGTAACCAACTACAAGAAACATCTTACCTCTGTGCTTGCCAACAAGAGCTTCTCCACCAAGTACTAAGTCATGCTTTGCTTGGGAATCAAATATTTATTTTACTCACTGAACTGCAACTCAATTTATAACATGTGTTTTTTCTGGATTTTTGGTTGATATTCTCTCTCTATCATTTAAAATACACCTATAATAAAAATTATAGACCCTTCATTTCTTTGTAAGTGGGCAAACTTACAAAATCTGCAGGGGATCAAATAATTATTTTCCCCACTGTATATTCACCTTCATATTTCTTCCCATTCACTTGCAGAATCAAAGTGTACCCTTTCCCCATCCCCACAATATAGATCGTAGGCTTAGGAATTGGTTGCCCAGGCACCCAGTGCTGTGTTGTTTGGGTTGGGGTAGCCACAATTGCCTAATACTTGGAAGTACTGTGTTTTTCTTCAGCTCTGCCAGGTGAACAGGGATGTGAGAGGTAATTGCTCCCCCTAACTTCACTACTCTAAAGTTTGTTTGTTACTTAGCACTGCATGGGCATACTGAAAGTTTGATTAAAGCAGAGTTACACCCAAAAGTGGAAGTGCTTGTTTGCCTCCTCCCCCCCTACACTGCCATACTTGGCACCTTTTTTTTTTTACTTGCCGCGGCAAAGTGAGCCGGAAGTTCAGCCCATTCCTTCCTCTCGCAGTCTCCTGGGAACCTTCACAGGTCCCAGAAGACTGCTGGACCAATCAGGATGCGCAGCATGACTCACGCATGCGCAGTGGGCACCCAGACAGTTTTTGTAGCTGCTGACTTTTAATAAACACAAAAACGGCTGGAACTCAGCTTTAAGTAGGCTTTGTTTTAGAGAAAAATGTGGGGACTATACATTCTAGTTCTAATTTGGGATTGACTTACCCTTATTGAAAAGATTGATGAAGTCCAAAGCTTGGTTTACAAGCTCTCGCATTCTGGAAAGCATGTCTGATCTGATCACTCCTTGAGGCTGTGGCCCAAGTTCTAAACCTAAAAGAAATTGCATATAACCATCTACATGTGTTGTATTACATTGGAACACAAATAAATGAAACTGAAGGATTTCTAGCATTAAAATAAATTTTCTTCTTCTGACTTCCATTTACTAGCACAGATGGGTCCCTTTCCCATACGTCAACCCAATCTGCAGCTGAAATTTCTTATTGTAAGCGACTTCTCAGAAATCATAGTGCACTATCCAAAAGTAAAAGACCTGAGTTTGCCCAGCAGTACAAAAGCAGACATATAAAGCTCTTTTTTCTGTGTCTATAATTATTCAGAGAGGCAAGAAACATGTACATTGTTACTAGCCAGTAAATCATCTTTAAAGGAAAGGCTAAAGACAAACCATACTGGAGGTTTAAATGTAACAACATGTTACAAAAGGACAACATTAGAGGGATTCAATTTAAAAACTCTGCAAATCATTACTTACTTCTAATCTGTTTTAGCAAGTGCCTGGCCTGTGAGGCATGTCTACTATGAGTTAAAAGCTTCGGTTGTCGGTAGAGGTGAAAAAAAGGGTCTTTTTTTTGTTGTAAGGCAAGGCACACTGACTGCAACAGCTACCAGCAGTGGAAAAACCTAACCTGCACATGTGTCAACCTGCACAAACTGCCTTTTACAAAATGTCTTTTAACACCACTTATACTTTACAAATATTTATGCAAGATGACAGTGTTTAGAGCAGCCATTCTGAACCAAGGTTTGGTGGAACCCTATGGCTTCTTCAGAGGTTGCTAAGGGTTCCTTGAGTTGTGTTGACTGACTCCCTGTTCAATAGTGTCTACTTCATTTCAGAACCAAACTAGTGCCATGACACCAATAAACTCTTTTTCTGCCTTAAAGGGTGGCATTTTGATCACCACTGTAGAAGATCAAAAGGGGCATATTTTCCACTTACTCAAAAAATGGTTTTAGTAGGGGTTCCCTAAGACCTAAACATTATTTTATGGGTTCCTCTGAGGTAAAAAAGAATGAGAAAGGCTGATTTAGTGAACTAAACATCCATCTTTAGCAGTCTAATTTCATTAACCTAATAAGTGCTGTTTCTGACTGGATATAAGATGTAGTTGAAGAAGGCTTACACAGTGCATGCTTTGTTATATGTTGCAGGTATGCATTATCCTTCTCTGGTATGTCGATGAGGTAGTTGTAGCATGGCATAGACTGATCCTCACTGTTGCTCTAAAACAGACAATTGAAACACACTCTGTATTTATTCTGCACAGCAGCACAGCATTTACTGTAAATGTTCAGTATTCCATTAGTATGTTATTCACACAAATAGCTGTACAAGGAATCAGTTGTTCCATAGTGGAGCCAGCTTCATATTTCCCTTCAAAAGTCCCACATTTATTAAAACTATTCTAAAAGTTGCTGTCTAATAGGGTTGGAGCTTAAATAGAAATTACAGTAATAAATCATAAAAAACAGAGGTAATGTGAATCCAATCCTATGTATTCATTGTTTTAACAGTGGGCATCATATATAAATGTGCTCCATATGAAATTAAATATTCAATAACAGCTGTAGAACAAATTTGAATGTGATCGTCCCCTCATGGACAATAATGGAAAGAAAGAAAAAGAAAAAATGGCAACCATTCAATCAATCTAAAGTTTTCACACAGTAGACGATGGATGCTTAGAGGTTCTGCCCATTAAAAACACACACAACATAAAATTTCCCAACACTTAGCTGCACCTTTACCAAAGAAAACCTGTCTACTTGGTCTCAGTTGCATACTGTACATTTGCAAATATCTATGGGAAATGAACACTAGTTGAAGTGACAGCAACTCATTGGGATATACAGTATAATACAAAAATACATAGATTAAGATCAGGTTTGTGTGGGAATAACTAAAAATCTCCTGCAAGTTTGTAGAAAAGGAAGGCCCAAAAAGTGTAAAATGCAGCTGGAGGCTGTTAATGTGTGTGTACCACCAAATATAGTCATAGGAAATGACCAAATGTGATAGCTGAATAATTTGTACAATACTCAGTTACTACTGAAGAACAAGAATAATAATAACAATAATGTGTATGAGCAGCTCTAGAGTTGTACCTGTTTCTTAAATGGCTTTTTATTTTCAGACACTGCATGCTGGTATTTCTTTTATGGTAACACCTAGTGATCAGGTATTCTCTACTAATACTAAAAAAAAATTGCATTGTCCTTGCTGTTTTAATGCATATGTATACTCACCTGCAAATAGTTTGCTAAGTGCAGTGAGAGGAGGTCATCCTTTGAGCAGCGGAGCAATGTGGCTCCCATGTTTGAAGTGGTGTTGTGTAGATCAAAAGCAAAATCAAAAGAAGGAACTCCAGATACATATTGCTGATTAATTTCTCTTGCTCGTTTCACTTCATATGGATCACCTTCAGATTCCGGAGATCTGAAACAAGATTAAACAAGTTGTTGACGGGGTAATGTCAGACAAGTGGCATTCATTTTGGGTTATATCCACCCCCTAGAGTAGTCACTATTTTTCTTGTAAAACAGGCTTTTTTTCCAACTTATGCACAATTTATTTTTGCACTTCACTTATCTTATGATCATTTTTGTCCATACATCTGCCACAGCAGTTGAGCATTCAGTAGCAAGGCAGACAGAAAAGACAAGCCCTTTACTTTATCTCTGCACAAGACAAATATGAGTTCCCAGGGTCAACACAGTGGGAGAGTAAAGCTGGCATTTCAGTTTTTGTACATTTTGACAAATATTTTCAATTTGATATTAGAATGGGGATAGCTGTGTAACATAAAGCTAGGCATAGCTATGAAACACTCATTATTTTTCCTCTTCTGGGAAATAATATTGATAAAGTATGTTGTCTAAAAATAGGTATTTGAGTGGTACTGGTTGGATGGGATTTTACCTATTTATATCTTGAGAGATTAACAAGTATTTTTTTGCTTTTGCGACCTTTTAAAAGAAATAAAACATCTGTATTTACAGTATGTAATGCATTGATATACTGCATATGTACTTTTGTTTTTTTATTTTGTCCTACCCATACGCTTTAAGCATAAACATACAAGCTATGTTATCTTGGTTCATGGGCTTTTGCCATGCAATTTTTTTATACAATGTTTAATTAGTTATGTCTTTGATGGACCTCCTTATATATTTTTTTTAGTTGCCTTAATTGGCAAAATGAACACATCTCGATGCAATATTGTTATCGTATACAGCACCATACAATAGTAAATCCCTTACAGTAGTGCTGCAATTCATTAGTCTACCCCAATGGAGTACATAACCACTCAGAAAAAACTATTCATTTGCAAGTATCAAGCACTCATGGGTTTTCAGGTTCATTTAAGCCCAACTCCAGCCCCAACATTTTTTGTTTTGGATAGAGCAGGGAACAGTTATTGCCTGCAAGTTTTTATTGCTGTCTACTGTATGTCCTTATTGATCAGTAATCTGCCTAATGAGAACACAGACAAAACATGTTTTTAATAGATCAGGAACAAGTCAGAGCAGTGGTGTCCAAACGTCAGCCCTTGGGCTGGATGCGGCCCTTTGCTTGCCTTTATCCAGCCCTTGGAGCACTATTTCTAACACTGATATGAGACACTATTCTGCCAACTAAAGTCAACAAAGAGGCCTAATTTTTCCCAATGATACTAGTGATAGGGCACTGTCCCCCCCAATACCAAATGTGTCAATGTTTACTCCCACTAATACCAGGAAAATTTCCACTCCTGTTGGCCAAATACTGCCCCCCCTACAGTCTGAAGGACAATAAACTGGCCCTTTGTTTATAAAGTTTGAAGATCCCTGCATTGGAGCATCATGGCTGCAGAACTGTCAGTTCATTTTCAAACTAATAACCAGAGAAAAGCAAAATGATTGGGGATAAATTGTCAATTTAAATCCTGGAAATATAAATTTCGCTCACTGAACTGTTTAGGTGAAATTTACTCTTTTTTTTTCTAGGGTAGTTTCTTTTTTTTCACTTTATGTTACAAAAATTAAATAAGGCTAATCAGGGTTGTTTCATGAACAGGTCCAGAAGAGTTAAACAGAACTTCTGCAATGCTCAGGAGCCCTATAAAGCTAATTTTGCCCTTAAAAATTACCAAAAACCATCTTGATTTCACCTTCCATATAGACTCAAGTTCATCTTTCCAAAAATTGTGAAATGTAATAGAAACCTTACGATTTTAGTAGATTTATTTCAGATATATCTATTCTCATATTTTTCTATCTTTCACAATATGAACACTGCTATGTGGAGGATAGTGATTTAAGGAACTGATTACAGCCATTATAAAACTAAGCAGGAGTACAGCTGAAATGTTCAGTAAATAGTACCCTATTCATGTAAAAAAAAAAAGTGTAATAAAATACATAACATTACCTTAGTATTTCATTTGAAAAACAGCGATTGAGGTCTTGGTCTAAGTATCGGACACATTTCTCCACAGCTAATGGATTGGCTATGCAGGACTCTGTTGTAAATGTCTGTCTCTGTATCTCTGAAGGGTCTTTCAGCCAGTGTTTAGCAAGTGTGACTCCAGACATCTCATTTCCATGAGTACCTCCAAAAACCACCACTCTTGAAATAGGTGCATAGTGAACAATTGAGCCCATGATTTCCTATAGCAGCTTAGCATAAGACACTGAAATTCACAAAACATGAAAATGCACTTTATATTGCAACATGCATGATCATTTCTTCCATAGAATATTGTAAGTAAATTAATTTAAATGGGATTAAAATATGTGGTCAGCTTTAGGATGCATCTAGTTAACTAAGATTTTTTAAAGTATTCAGGATATTACAATTTTACAAATTTTGCTCAATGAGAAAATGAGTGTGTTTAAAAAATAATTAAATCCTAAATGTAAGAGGTCGAAGTCAAGAATGTGTTACACTGATTCACATCATACCCTTAAAAGATTCCCAGCATAACCTGAAAACAATCACAAAATGTGTTTTAAACTACAGTAGATACACTGGAAAAGCAAGAGGCCTGTCATGAAAACAGATATAACAGACACAACAACTGTTTTACAGTAGTTCTTTATTAAGATGTTTGTGCTACCATAAATTTAAGCTGAACTCGAGGCAAACAAGTAAACACACAAGTAAAATACATACAGTGCGGATCGAAAGTTTGGGCACCCCAGCTAAAAATTTGTATTAATGTGCATAAAGAAGCCAAGGAAAGATGGAAAAATCTCCAAAAGGCATCAAATTACAGATTAGACATTCTTATAATATGTCAACAAAAGTTAGATTTTATTTCCATCATTTACACTTTCAAAATAACAGAAAACAAAAAAATGGCATCTGCAAAAGTTTGGGCACCCTGCAGAATTTATAGCATGCACTGCCCCCTTTGCAAAGCTGAGACCTGCCAGTGTTATGGATTGTTCTCAATCATCGTCTGGGAAGACCAGGTTATGTCAATCTCAAAGGTTTTAAATGCCCAGACTCATCTGACCTTGCCCCAACAATCAGCACCATGGGTTCTTCTAAGCAGTTGTCTAGAAAACTGAAACTGAAAATAGTTGACGCTCACAAAGCTGGAGAAGACTATAAGAAGATAGCAAAGCATTTTCAGATGTCAATATCCTCTGTTCGGAATGTAATTAAGAAATGGCAGTCATCAGGAACAGTGGAAGTTAAAGCAAGATCTGGAAGACCAAGAAAAATATCAGACAGAACAGCTCGCAGGATTGTGAGAAAAACAATTCAAAACCCACGTTTGACTGCACGATCCCTCCAGAAAGATCTGGCAGACTCTGGAGTTGTGGTACACTATTCCACTATAAAGAGATACTTGTACAAATATGGTCTTCATGGAAGAGTCATCAGAAGAAAACCTCTTCTACGTCCTCACCACAAAAATCATCGTTTGAACTTTGCAAATGAACATATAGACAAGCCTGATGCATTTTGGAAACAAGTTCTGTGGACCGATGAGGTTAAAATTGAACTTTTTGGCAGGAATGAGCAAAGGTACGTTTGAAGAAGAAGGGGCACAGAATTTAATGAAAAGAACCTCTGTCCAACTGTTAACCATGGGGTTGGATCAATCATGCTTTGGGGTTGTGTTGCAGCCAGTGGCACAGGGAACATCTCACGAGTAGAAGGAAAAATGGATTCAATAAAATTTCAGCAAATTTTGGATGGTAACTTGATGCCATCTGTGAAAAAGCTGAAGTTAAAGAGAGGATGGCTTCTACAAATGGATCATGATCTGCTAAAACACCTCGAAATCCACGGGGGATTACATCAAGAGGCGTAAACTGAAGGTTTTGCCATGGCCTTCACAATCTCCTGACCTCAACATAATTGAAAATCTATGGATTAGACCTTAAAAGAGCAGTGCGTGACAGACAGCCCAGAAATCTCAAAGAACTGAAAAAGACTTTTTTGTAAGGAAGAATGGGCAAAGATACCTCAAACAAGAATTGAAAGACTCTTGGCTGGCTACAAAAAGCGTTTACAAGCTGTGATACTTGCCAAAGGGGGCAGTGCATGCTATAAATTTTTTGCAGGATGCCCAAACTTTTGCAGACGCCATTTTTTTGTATTTCTGTTATTTTGAAAGTGTAAATGATGGAAATGTGTTACAAAATCTAACTTTTGATTGACATACCTGAAAACAATCCCAAAATGTTTTAATCTGTAATTTGAAAGCAAGAGGCCTTTTGGAGACAACAGACACCATGTTTTCCTTGGCTTCTTTATTAAGATGTTTGTGCTACCATAATACAAATTTTAAGCTGGGGTGCCCAAACTTTCGATCCCCACTGTATATGTGAACTGTCTTATATTCCAAAGGATTTTCTAAAAAATGTGTTTTACGTTTGTGTGTGCATATTAGGGAAGTTTCCTTTCACCTCTTGCCCTGCACCCCAAAAGGAATCTAAAAAGAAGTAAAGCAAACAAGTCACTGGAAGTGAGGGGCGAAACGAGTTTGAGTCATCGAGGGTTCAGCGAATCTGGTTTGAAATTCAGTGGACCTGAACTTTGCAGCAAATCCCACTGAAGACTGTGGGGTCAAAATCTTCTGCTAAATTCTGTCCATTTATGGAGCCAACAGGCAAACTACCGTCAAAAAAGGGCTATGGAGACGTTGAACAAAGCAAATAAACACCAATCCTTTACATTACAGAATAGTATGATTTTCACGGTCATTGTCAGCAGCACCGTATGCTGGAATCACATTTTTTGAATGTGTAAATATTTTTTTTATTATTTAGATTGACTTCAATACAGCAGCAGCCACCCAGTGTGATTCATTAAACTTGGAAAAAGTGTTCATGCGACACATAATTTTTCCAGAAGCAATAATGGGCCTGAATTGACTGGTGGAAGGAATAGCCACAACAGATCAAAAAGCTGATTGGAAACTCTCACCTTGTAAAACAACCCATTAAATTTAAAATAGAAATTAAAAGCAAAACATTTGTATATAGATATGAAAAACATTAAAACAACCTTTCCCTCCCCTTTTATAAGTGATCACATTCCCTCTATTCTCAGCTGCATATGAGCTAGGGGAGGAGAAGCAGCAGCACACTGACTTCCCAGTGAAAGGCTTACTTACTGTGGTCAGGTTTAATAGGAAAGCAGAGGGACTTACAGGGACACCAGGGATTTCACACAAAGGAAGCGATACAAAGAGAACAGGAGAACACAGCTGATCACATGATGTGGTAAAATGCCAATCACAGCGGCCTTTTACCACATGATCAACTGTGACCAGTGACACAGCAGATCACCGATAAATGCAGTTGCCGGTTATCGGCTGCACTTTCCTCATGCTGTAACAGCATGAGGAAAGTACTGCCGATAACCAGCAATTGTCAGAGGATGGATCGGCACTGACCATCAGAGCACTGATGATCAGTGCCCTGATGATCAGTGCCCAGCAGTGCCACCCAACAGTGCCACCCACCTGTGCCCAGCAGTGCTGCCCACAAGTGCCCAGCAGTGCCACCCACTTGTGCTCATTAGTGCCACCTACCTGTGCCCATCAGTGCCTAGTAGTGCCACCCACCTGTGCCCAGTAGTGGCACCCACCAGTGCCCCCATAAGTGCCACCCAGCAGTGACCCCATAAGTGCCACCCATCAGTGCTGCCCAGCAGTGCCGCCAGTCAGTGCCCCAGTGCCGTCAGTCAGTGCCACCTATCAGTGCCCATTAGTGCCGCCTATCAGTGCCCATCAGTGTTGCATATCAGTGCAGCAGCATCAGTGCCACTCATCAGTGCTGCCTATCAGTGCCCATCAGTGCTGCCTATCCGTGCCACCTCATCCGTGCCACCTATCAGTGCCCATCAGTGCTGCCTATCAGTGCAGCCTCATCAACGCACATCAGTGAAGGTGACAAATTACCTGTTTGCAAAATTTTATAATAGAAACAAAGAAAAAAAAAATTTTTCCCAATTTTCTTGCTCCTTTTTTGGTTATAGCGCAAAAAATTAAACACCCAGTGGTGACTAAATACCACCAAAAGAAAGCTCTACTTGTGTAAAAAAAATTATAAAAATTTCATATGGTTACAGTGTTGCATGACCGTCCAATTGTCATTCAAAATGCAACAGCGCTGAAAGCTGAAAATTGGCCTGAGCACGAAAGGTAGTGCCCGGTAGGCAAGTGGTTAAAACGTTTTATTATAGAAGCTATACCTAAACATCTTTCTGAATCTGAACATTTTCTAAAGTTATGTTCCTTCCCAAGAAACATACTGGATCTTTATGTTAGACACATTATCCCCGGGTGGACTCAATGAAGAATTAGATGTTAGTATCTTCTTATAATGAGCTATTTGCAATGTGCTCTTGTTTTCATTTTTCATTTTTAATTATCCTTCGTTTAACGAATCACTACAGCCTGATTTATTACTAGTACAGATTTATTATTATTTTATTACTCTTGTTATTTTACTATTATGTTCACTCTCTACTTATTCATTATTATTAAAACCAATCTATTTATTTTAATTATAGTTACTTTTACCATTAGCATTTGTTGTAAATGATGTAAATGTGGTAACAAATTTCTTCAATATGTAAACATATATTTACATATATTTTTATACTTTTATACTTTTTTATACATAAATACACATGTATGTATTTATATAATCTTATGTATGTATATGCCTGTACATCCCTATCATAATTCTTCAATTATCTACCATTTTAATAATAATCACTATTATTTTTTATATTTTTTTTTATTTTTATTATTACTATTTCTATTATTTTTTTATTTTAGATTTTTTTATTTTTAAATTTTTTTCTTTTTTTTTTCATTTTTTAAAGTTTTTTTTTTCAATCTTTATTTGTATTCATCATTATTATTATTATTTTATTATTTTTTTTATTTTTTTATTTTTTCATTTTTCTATTTTTTTTTTTTTCATATACATTTTTTCCTAGTTTTTTTTTTTTTTTATTTCATCTCCTACTTCAATAGTTTTATTCTTCACCCACGATGTCCTCATTCATAAGCTTTATTACTTAAATCGGTATTGCTCATTAGTAATCTCCCTATATACTGTATATGCACATACCCTTCCCATTATATCAGCTTATGCTTGAGAAGGGAGCACGCTTGCCGTCCACTGGC